AAATAAAGACTTTAAAATTCTTGTTAATCTAAATAGTTTTAATTAGAAGCTAGATCTATTTGCTTAAACGCTTCGATAATATTGGGGAATGGATGCATATTACAAACATTATCGTTGGAAAAAAAACGCGAAATTCATGCGTTTTGGCTTTAAAGCACCCTTAAAAGAAAAAGGGAAAGTTTTTGCTGCATTGCTCATATATTGTTTATTTTTAAGGTATTAGTTTGGTCCATAATCAAATAATAATTCAAACAGCAATAAATAAATAGAAATTTACATACATTTGTTCAAAACCAGCAAGTTAGATGCCTCCCAACATGTATACATAAAATGCTATCGTGCCTCCCAACATATACATAAAATGTCACATAATACATTAAATGTTACATACATAAAATGTTACCATGCCTCTCAACATATCGCTCATGGACTGTAATAATGGCACAACTAAAAAAACACGCGTTTTGGACTAAGAACATGCGTAAATAGGAAAATACACATTCTTTTCAGCAGCAATACTAGCACAACTCATAATTCAACTTGAAGGTAATCTTCGTTTAAGCAAACTAAAGCATTTCTTATGCATTTTCCTTAACAATGAAAACTTTAAACCAACTTATCTCAAAACATGATTTTTTGAGTTGTGCCGCTATTGCAGCCCATGAACGATATACGCATAAAATACCAACATATACAAAAAGTATACTTTAATGAACTTATATACCACTATTGTAATTTTTTGTGTATTGCAATCCGTATGAAAATTGTTTATCAAACTAGTTTTTAACTTATAGTGTAATGCGTCTTACAAGTGACAAATCTTTCAATAAAGGCTTAGAATTATGAGTTCTCGAAAGATTTTTGTCTACTTCGAATAATACTTTCACTCATATCGGAAAATTGGGTGCGAAATCGAAACTAATGTTACACTAGAACCGACAGCCTACAATTTCAATTCCAAGAAAAATATCTTTTATGCTTTCCTAAATCGCTTTCTCAATGACCACATAATGGTTTTGGGAGAAAATGTTCAAAACCAAAGCCTTGAATGTGCTGGCGTAGCTGTCCATCATTTTTTCATTCAGTAAACAAAACACAAAGGGTATATAATTTTCATTATAATACCCGTCGGTAGTAAACATTTAAATGAAAAATTTTGGTGCTGTGTCAAAAGTTCCGGCCACGACGAGTATTATCTTTCATTCAGTTCTGTAAACTTAAGGCTCTATGTAAACTAGATTTGATATGCTTGGAAATATCACTCATCTATCATATTTTACAATAAAAATGTTTCTCCCTTAATTGTATTGATATCTATTTTTTCGAGGGCATGTTGGGTTTCGAATATATTCTTTGGCAATTTTGGTAACACCTAAATAATCTAGCGTTTGTAATATTGTTCCCAAGTAATTTTACATCGGCTCGTGTTAACACGTCAGCAGCATGTAGTAAAGTTTCCAAATCCGAAAAAATTAATTTCGCTGACCTTTCAAGCAGTTTTTGAGAGTCCATTTTTATCTCCCTTGATTATGTGTTATTATGTATGTATTATTTTGTATTATTATGTATTATTTTGCTCTCTTGATTATGTGTTTCCATTTCCAAAAACATAACTTGCCGTTACACTTCTTATTGAAGCAAAAGCAGAGTTTCACTCCCGAAGATTTATGAATATAGGCGAACTTATAGCAACAATTTTGGTGCAATATCGACACTTTTCCATTTCGCTATAATTTTTTTTTCATACCTGCCTCCATTCTCTAAAGGTTTACCGCAAAAATAGAAAGTTGGCCACCAAAACGATAGAACTGATGGAAATGGCTCGTCTCCTTTTTATCTGTCCCGTTCCAAATTTAGGGAATGATAATTGAACTCCTTTGCTGAGTCCTACGATGCTTGACCTTCAGAGAACAACAACTAAAGGTCAAGCAATATCCTTTAATAAAGACACAGGATATCAAAGTGAAAGTATCTAGACCGCAAAATAATCGCCTCCCTCACCCTAAATTTATGATAAGACATCAAGAAAAATGTGACATATATGCATAAATTTTTGTTGTGCACCTCTGAAAAGTTTTCTTTTCATCTTAAATGCTACAGCACTTTTTAGAAATAACACGATTCTCGTTTGCTTTTCAACATAAGATTTAAAATAATCTTATGTTATTCTGAACTTAACGTTTATTCTTGCTAATTTTGTAATAATAAATATTATTCAAATAAAATTTTATCAACACAGAAACTCAAATTATCTCATTTTATTTTATAACTGGTGTTGAATCAGCTCATCTATTTTTTTTGTTTACGACTATCAATGTTCAACTCCGTAGTTTCGAAATTTTGATCGAAACCCAAAAGACCAGGGAACTCTTGGATCAAGCATTGGGACTCTATCATTCGTGCGGTTTGATTCAACTCGTCTGCATTAATTGCGTTACATGGAGAGAAAAGTCAAATGATTGTAATATTGTGTACGGGTATATAAGTTTCTCTTTCATTGGTTGGAAGAAACAAAGGAAATTAGAAAAAAAAAAAAGTTCTAAAAGGAACCTCCAGGAAAAATCAACTCTTTAGTAATTATATGGATTTAACAGCTCGTATAGTTAAGGCTGAAGTATCAAAATATAATATAATTAAACATATAACGAAATGCTAATACTTGAAGGAGATAAGATATTTTTTAAAGATATTAATTAATGAGTAAGGATTAATTTAAAGTTTACATAGAGGAACATTCCTCACTTCCTGGCTATTTAACAGACTCACTCTTCAGCAGCTCTAAAATTATTCTAAGCATCAATAGTTGCACTTATTATATAGTGATAATCGTCAGTTGAAGTCATCAAAATTTTAAAACAAACATCTTTTCATTACTTCGTGTTTCAGCTATGTATATTGCAGTATTAAAAGCAGTTTTTTATTCTTGTGCTTTTTATTTCTCAAATTTTTCCCCTCGTGCTTATTTTTCTTTATTCTTTTTTTAATATCTTTCTTTTTCGAAAGAACTTGTTGATAATCAATTTTTATTTCCTTTTTGATATTTTACACTTTTTCGTTGCATTTTGGTGGGCACTTAAGACATCTTCAGAAATCGATACAGTCAAAATTGCTGTAGACTAGTACAACATTCATGATCCATCATATTGATTATTTAAGTAAATACTAATAACCATCTGGGAATAATGAAATATTTATTACTCCTTTAAAGCAATATTTATTTTTTTAATTTAATACAGTATGACTTATACAACAAAAATGTTACTCGCTAAAAATATTGAGAGTGATTTTATGAAGGCTTCATTTTGGCGAACATATGGCTTAGTTTTAATATTTTAGCCAAAATTTGCCGGTAAGTAAGGTTACGACAAATATCCCCTGTACCTGTACTCCACAGTTCCCCCCTTTTGCACAATTTTTGTTCCTTCGCTTCGCTTGGTAGATGCTGTGGCATCTGGATATCGGAACAGTAAATGAGGTTCAGGCAAGAAAATCAGAGAGAAGGCGTGGCACAGCAAGAAAGTAACGCCCACATCGATAGTTTCGACTTGAATTTTCACACAGCTACGAAATAGCAGTTGTAGTTCACGAAAATAATAGTTATGGGTGACGATGACGAACTTACCAAAACTTAACTTATCTCATGCTCTGTTCAATCCAATCATTGACCAGAGCACTTAAAAATTGTCTAAAATAACAATGTTCACACATGAAGTGAAAGAATTAACGATGACACAAATACCATAAAATGTTTTATAAAACAATTACTGGTATTACTATTTATGCTTTTCTTTAAACAAGAATTTTAAGCTTTATTGTTTATCGCATTTGAAATGGATCAACTAAAAATAAAAGAAGAAAGAAAAAGCTAGTTGCAGCCACGTCATATCTTTTTAAGCCATTATTTGTGAAAAAGTACATTTTGAAAAACGCAATATAATTTATAGTGAGCAATAACTTGTATAAAATTTTGTATTTTGCTATGTAAAATTACAAATGATGAAAAAAATTGTGTACCTTAAAGTTCAAAATTTTTTTCAACTATCGTTAAATAAAATAATAAAAAAATAAATATTTACTAAAGGTTTTTTTTTCATGAAAATATCTTTGGATAAACTAATTTTATAATTATATGCAAATATTTTTCAATGCCTTTAAAAATTTATCGAGATACAGCAAAATGCCCAAAAAGTAAAATTAACATTAAGGGATCCAAATTTTGGACAGCTCGCCTTTCCAAATTATTGGGATCATGTTCATCCAGATTCCGGGGTTACCTATTTCTCAGAGTACCTAGTTTGGAGGTCAGAAATTTTAATCTTTCGAGGGACAAAAAAGAAATATTTATTCCGAGAAACAACGCTTTTGTGATTGATTTCGTACCTTAGAATATCGTATCCAGTAATTAATTACCATATTTGTGGTCACCCCCTTAAACCATTGAATCTTAAGACCCACAGGATGATCCAATCATTAGATCAAAAATTATTCCGTGTGGACATTTTTTATTTTGCGTACAGTACATATGATAAGCATAACTACGACGAGTAAATGATAATTATTTTCTGTCTTACTATTTGCTCTGGTCTTGCAAATAAATTTGTTATTTTAAAGCAATTAATGTGCACAAAACTATTTTTTTAAGTATTATGGCAGCTAGAGCTCAATTCAGGGAAGGGGATTAACCACAACTTTTGAAACAATTTTCCGTTATTATCTAATTATTTTTGTTTTTAACTACTTAGGGACTGGTCTAAGCCTACATTAAAATTTGAATCAAATATTTATTATAAATACTCGAAAATATGAATGAGACTTTTGGAAGTTAATAGCTTTATTTGAAAAAATGTCGTCTACATTGCTTACATAGCAGAAAAATAAATTTTCTTAAAGTTCCAAAAATGTAACTTGTACCTCAAAAGTCACTTTTGCTACCTATTACTACTAGTTACTGCAATAATTAAAAGTGCAAATGGAACTATTAATCCAATATACACAGTCAATATCTTTTTATAACTTTTATTATTGTTAAAATGTTATACAAAAGTGTCATAAAAGCTAATGAAATAAATTATCATTTGTGAAACTATTTAACTTTCTTTCCATTTGTGAAGTGGTCGATTCCATTTTTAATTTCTTTTTCTCTATTCGATCTTCTATTGATGTACTCATGATAATAGAAATTTAGGAAAAGCGCCATAAAAAATCCTGCTATTAACACATTCATGATAAACGATAATGGAGATATTTTACAGCCTTGGAATGGAGTTACAAACATGTGGTAGAGTACAAATATGAACTGCACCTGTTGGAAAATATCACATTTCATAAAAT